GAAGACTGATGAGAGGTTCTATGGGCAGCTGTACACATCATCGTTCCACACGCAAGTGTGAGTAACGATCCAAGAGCAAGTCATATCCGACACTATTCCGATGATATCCCGGACATCAGTCTGAGCGAGGTCAGAATGGCTCTCCAGCACCTTAAAAACGGCAGGGCCCCTGCCGTTTTTAAGGTGAGGATGGAATTACAGCGGAGTTTCTGAAGGCGGGTGGAACACCGGTACTTAAAGTCCTTTAGAAGCTCTTTAATTCCGTCCTCCATGGTGGTACTACTCCGGAGACGTGGAGCAGAAGTGCGTTGGTCTTGTTCTTTAAGAAAGGCGACAACGCTCTCTTGAAGAACTATAGATCGATTTCCCTTCTGAGACGCGTCTACGTGCTGTTTTCGAGAGTCATTACGAATCGTCTCGCACGCAGACTCGACGACTTTCAGCCTCCCGAATAAGCCGGTTTCCGAAAAGGCTTTAGTACCATAGACCACATGCATACCCTGCGGCAGATTTTTTATTTTTATTTTATTTATTTATTTGTCAGAATAAGGTAATACATAATAGTCTTAAATCTAATACAGAAGTTCACTTATTCTGCCTCTTTCATAGGCGTACAAATATTAAATCGTCTTAATTTAATTTCGACATAGAATTTTAATACAAAACTATAAAAAATTAATTATGAATAAATGTTATACAAATTGTCATAAATATGTCAAAGAGAAAATCAGTAATAATACATGTCATCGTCAAATTGCTATATATGTCGCCTATATTTACTATTATAATTATATTAAATAATAATTTTACAAACAAAATTAGTTATTGAAATATTCAGAAAGACTATAAAAACACTTGCTGAGAAGCTATTCTATCAACTTTCGTTTAAACGTTTGAGTTGTTTCATTCTTTATTGTGTCTGGCAGACGATTGTATACACGGATTGCCATGTAGAAAGCATTCCTGTTAAAGAATGAGGTGCCTGATTTAGGCAAGAATAATTTATTTTTGTTCCTAGTATGCCTCTGTGTTACATGAGACTGTTTTATAAATAAATTTAAATTGTGTCTTACAAACAAACAGATATCCCTCACATACATACACGGTAAGGGAAGAATGTTTAATTTCTTAAAATGGGATCTACAACTCTCACAGTACCCCAAATTGCATACAGCGCGAATACATTTTTTTTTGTACTACGAATGCTTTCTGGCTATCGGTAGAGTTATCCCATAACAATAACCCGTAGCTTAGAACTGAGGAAACATAACAATGATATGCACATAGAGCTGCCTCTCGCGACACTGTTCTCCGTAATCGTCTCAGAGCATAAACAAGTCGGTCTAATTTCTTACAAATTTTAAAAATTTGCTCCTTCCAATTGCATTGTTCATCAAGTGTGATGCCCAAAAATACTGCAGATTGTACCTTTTATATCCATTTATTATGAAATTTAATGTTAATGTCTATTTTTTTGATTTGTATGTCGTAAATTGTATTATTTTTGTTTTTCAAAATTAATATTAAGGTTATTTAATTCAAGCCATTTAACTACGTCACGAATAAAGTCATTGATTTGATTATTAAAATTATTTATGTCATTAGCCTTTATTATTAGGGTTGTATCATCGGCGAAAAGAATGCATTTTTCTTTCGTAGCTTGAGGTAGGTCATTAAATTAAAAATAAAAGCGGGCCTAAAATACTACCTTGTGGAACACCATATTTAATAATTTTATTAATCTGATCTATATGATGATTTTTGTATTTGTTTGTTTTAGGCATCATCTTACAGATTTCAGTGCATTGCCTTCTGTCTTTCAAATAACTAGCTATCCAATTATTTGCTTCACCACGAATACCATATTTTTCTAATTTTTGAAGCAAAATGTCATGTTCTATGTGATCAAAGGCCTGAGTCATGTCTAATAGTACTGCTACTACAGGTATCCTTTGAGATATGCTTTCGGTGACAAATTTAATAAGATGAAAGCATGCAAGTGTAGTTGAACTTTTCTTTACAAATCCAAACTGCTGCCGATTTAATATATTATGCTTTGTAAAGAATAAGTTTAATCTATTACACATAGCTTTTTCAAATATTTTCGATAACACAGGCACGAGAGTAACTGGTCTATAATTATTTACTGTTGCCTTGTCACCTTTCTTAAAAAATGGTTTTACAATTACTTGTTTTAATTTCGATGGAAAGATGCCTTTACAAAACGATAAATTTATCAAAAAGCTTAAAATTTCAGATATGCTATTTGCACACGCTTTTAATATTTTCGTTAAAATTTCGTCGTATCCGACAGATTTACTATTATTGAGATTCATTATTATTTTACGAACCTCATAACAATCCGTAGGATATAGAAAAATTGTTTTGTCATTCGTTACAATCTGTTTAAGAAGATTACGCGTTTTGTAATATTATCTATAAAGTGGTTATTAAAAACTTCCGCAATTTTTTGTGCATCAGTGTACTTAATTTTATTATACGTTATGTAATCTACGCCCTGAGAGTGTGGTTTACACATTATATTGTTTTTGATAACATCCCAAGTTGCTTTGCATTTATTAGAACTGTTGCCTATATATTTATTATTTACATTTTTCTGGCAGTGTGGATACATCTTTTCAATATGCGACTATAAGCATTGTATTTTTATTTATTTAGATTTTTATTAGCATTGCCATGAATATATTTTAAATACAGATTTCTTTTTGTGATTGTTGCCTTTTTTATCCCTTTAGTAATCCACCGCGCTCTCATATTTGTATTTACTATTTTTATTCTAATGTTTGGAAAGCACAAATTATAAAAAACTAAAAATAGATCATGAAAATAGTCAAAAGCTACGTCAATATCTTCTATTGTATATATGTCAGACCAGGATAATGCCCGCATGCAATGATTAAACTTAATTATATTACTTTGACAATAATCTTTTCTATATTCAAACCAGTATGTAGTTATATGTTTTTCAGACATATTTACGCTGAGGGTCTGCGCTGTTTCATGATCTGACAAACCCAGAAAATGAATGCCCGAATCAGCTTGTGTTATGTTGCTAGCAATATGATCAATACACGCTTTATTTCTAGTAGGTATTCTTATGTGAAAGTTAATATTATAATTATTTAATATACTTGTTAATTCAACTGTTGGTTTAGTCTGTTTTAATATATCTATATTCCAATCACCCGTTAATACTAATTTAGTGCTCCCTTTTTTATTAGTCAGTTTTTGTAATAATATATTAAGTTTTTAAAAAAATGCTGGCAATGTTTCAGGTTTAGGTATTCTATATATGCAAATAATAATCATGTTTAATTGACTTAATTCAATTCCACAACATTCAAAACAATACTCACAGCCTAATTCGTTTGTTATCACAATTGATTTATATTTAATCCCTTTCTTAACAAAAATACAACTACCACCTCTTTTTTTTACATTGTACAGAAGACCGAAGAGTACAATCTGCCACTTGCCTGACGTTTGTGAACTATGAGAAAGCCTTTGATTCCGACGAAATTGGGGCGGTGGTACAGTCCCTTCAGCGGTGCCAAGTTGAATGTCGGTATATCGAAGTGCTGAAGTGTTTGTACAGTATTGCTACGATGGCTATCCGAGTACAGAACCAGAGTTCGAAACCTATCCAGCTGCAGAGAGGTGTAAGACAGGGTGATGTTATATCCCCGAAACTCTTCACCGCTGCATTGGAAGATGTTTTCAAGCTACTGGACTGGAAAGGATACGGTATTAACATTAATGGCGAGTACATCACTCACCTTCGATTTGCCGACGATATAGTCCTTATGGCAGAATCGCTGGAGGACCTAAGCACTATGATCAATGACCTCAATGGTGTCTCCCAACGGATAGGTCTTAAGATGAACATGGACAAAACAAAGATCATGTTTAATGTCCATGTCACACCGATGCCGGTAGTTATTGGGAGCACTATGCTCGAAGTTGTTCACGAGTACGTTTACCTGGGGCAAATAGTCCGACTAGGTAAGTCCAATTTCGACCGAGGGGTCATTCGACAGATTCAACTCGGCTGGGCAGCGTTCGGGAAATTACGACATCTTCTCATCAGGTATACCTCAAATTCTGAAAATGAGATTGTACAACCAGTGCGTGTTGCCACTGGATGACTTACGGATCGTGAGAGACGTGGTCCTTCACTGCTGGCCATATGAGGACACTCAAGGTCGCTCAGCGAGCTATGAAGAGGGCTATACTCGGAGTTTCTCTGCGTGATAGACTTAGAAATGAGCATATCCGCAGAGACACATATAACCAGAGTGACTGACATAGCCCAACGGATTAATAAACTAAAGTGGCAATGGGCCGGTCATATAGCTCGAAGAACCGATAACCGATGGGGAAGAAAGGTTCTCGAGTGGCAGCCTCGTACCGGTAGGCGTAGTGTAGGGTGACCCTCCACTAGATGGAGTGACGACCTGGTAAGACATCCAGGAATTCGATGGATGCAGGTGGTTCAGGACCACGCTTTGTGGCATTACTTGGGGGGCCTATGTTCAGCAGTGGACTTGTAAAGGGCTGTAATAATGATGATGATTATGATGACGATGATAGTAAGAATTACCTGTATTTCTAAAATCACTTCCAACATAGATTACAAAATACTGATACCTACTATTTTTACTGATATTCTTTGATTATTAAAATAAAATAAGGAAGTGAATAAAATGTTAGAGAATTATATTAAAGGTAAGCAAATTTATGATTACAAATACTTAAATGTTGTATCGATAGGTTTTTATCAGTTTTATGGGTTAGATAAGCGTGAGTGGAAGGGTAAAGGTGACTTTATTGACAAGATATAGAAGCGGTAGGTAACTGATGTGTTTATCTCTACAAAGATAAACTGAACTTGAACAGAATAGTAATCCAGAAGACCTTTTATTGCGTATTGTAGAGGTTGTGTTGATAACAAAGTAGAGCTATATTTGAAACCAAACAAAATGAAGGCAGTAGAAACACGAAGTTTTAAATTGAAGGTAATATTAGTCTTTTAAATTTTCGAAGTGGTTCGTCTTGCAATTAAGATTGTACATCTTAGCTTACTTCACAGTAAAATTTTTACTTCTTAGAAAAATATTTCACACAGAAATTGGTAGGTAACACAGAGATCGTATTAAAAAGCAAGGAGTGTACTACACTCTAACTTACTCTAACGAAAGATATTAAGATAGCAATCACATTATTATATACCTACACAGTTAACAAAAATACTATAATACTAGTCGAACTGCATATTATTTGTACCTATATGTATTTTTTACAATAAAAACAATGAAACTGCTGTAAAAATATTTATTAACATTTACCGATTTAAGACTTTCATATCATTAATAAATTCAAAATTATATCAATGGTTGTTCGTATTAATATTCACTTAATGATGTGCAACACTGTAAAATATAAATGTGGCTATCGCAAAAATGGCTAACTGCTTCCTGCTTGTGACATTCAGTGACCTCTAAAGTTCTGCTTTAAGTTTCTGTCAAACTCCACATAAGTAACTAAGTGCGGCTTCGAATTTTTTTTTCTAATTTAGTACTTGTTTCTATTTTATCCTAAAATGGCCTTTGTAAGTAACATAACTCATAATTTTTCAATTCGAAAATTATTAACGTACGTATTTTGTAAAATAATGAAAATGTGAGATGCAACTTTTTAACCTAAGTTTTGTCGAGCGGCTTTTCAGTACTGATTTGATCAGTCTGATGAGTCGTGATTTAGATTTTATTGTAGTCTAATATCACGCCTTTAATTGAAAACCTATAATATATTAACACTTTTTAATTTATTCTAATATAAATTTAAAGTTACCTATAGTTAAATTAACTAGGTATGTATATGCTAACGCCCGTATATAAAACGATTTATCAAACAAATGTGGATTGAAGAATGTGGATGTTAATAAAAGACGATGTCTGTCTGAAAAATAAAGTTTTTTTCTTTGGTTATAAACTCGTACAGTACTGGTACTTTTGCCAATCTCAAGAAAGAAATAATTAAATATGTAGATACTACAATAGGTACCATTTATTTTTGTATGTTGCTTTTATGTTTCAGTATAGCAGTACGTAGGTAATTTTGAAAATAAATAGAATACCTAAGTCAGATTTTCTTTTAAGTAAAATATAAGCAGCACAATTTTAATAAGCACATAAAGACTATTTGTTTAGGTAATTTAAAACCAATAGGTATAGTTAGTCTGTTTCATGAAAGAAGTCCCACGGAAAATGTGCAAACTAAAATTAAATGTATGGAATTTGACACCAGATGACAAACTCCGCAAAGACTGTGTTGCAGCGGCTGAGGGACTTCTTTTATGACACGGACTCTTAAACATTTATATGTGAAAATGTAAAATTTATTTCCATATGTGCATTGGCTACAAGGCCTTCAGCCAAGAGGAGTAACATCAAATGCATTAAAACATTTTTCAAAATATGTCATTTAAATAAATAAGGGTGTCAATAAAGTATACAATACAGTACACCTGATGGTGTTATTGAATGGTGAATGCTAAATAATTTGGGCTGCGGCTCATAGACCTACACTTATCATCTATTAAATAATAAAATGCAGATATTTTGTCAACCCGAGGACTATATATATATATATATATATATATATATATATATATATATATATATATATATATATATATACGAAAGTGGAAACAAGATATTTCAGCTTGGTTTGACATTGTGCTTTTATTTTACGCACATATTCTGTGACTGTTGTCGTTTCCAAATAGATCCAATACATTTGTGTTGCAGTGGCTCTACCACGGACACAAATTAAGAAAAAAAGTTTTGTAGACATATTAAGCCAACATGCAGTCAATAACCATTGACCATAGTATCCTCAGCTATCAAAGTGCCTAAAGAGTATATAAACACAGAATACATTATATATACCTGGAATGGAAATGCTAGTCGATTCTGTGGTACAGACTAGTGACCTAGGTGGGTTTGCAAACTAAACAGATGATATATCTCTCAATAAATATGTTCTATATAATATAGTATAGTCCAGTCCCTGGTGTACTGATTATTTTTACTGAATATAACAAGATTACATAATTCTGCAACTATATGCATCAAACCAGTTGCAGAATTATGTGATCAAAGGTAAATAATAAAAAATAAAACTCATTTTAGTTATTTCCTCTTTCTTTTATTATTATACTCAGATGCTAAACATGTAGTACATCTTCTCTGTCATAGTGGGTATTACTACCAGCAATTATTTTATTTACCCGGCATTATACAAAAATAATATGCATGAAGAGTTATAAATTCTTTCTATTATTTCTTTTTTATGGGTTTCACATGCCAAAAAATTAAAATCTAGTCTAATTTGTAAAATTATTTTTGTATAGTTTCTTATATTATTTATATCTGGCCTTTTTTAATTATATAATAAAATACATCTTGTATGCTGGATAAACAATTAACCAAATAAGGTTAGGGTATGTTAGGTAGTTTTTTTCTCATATTGTATTCTCTCAATTTTATATAATTATTTTCTTCACAAAAATACAAATTTGCAAAACAAGTTTTAAGCGACACTGTCATAATAAGAAACCAGTTACGTACTCTAAAGCAGCCATTATTTGTGGGTCCCTTTATTTAAATTATAATTTTGTCACTGTAAATATCCTCGTATCGAATTTCTGAAGAAACATTATCTTCCTTGCTATATTCTGTAAAGAACAAAGTCTTTAATGATTTAAATATGAAGCCTGAATCATCCTCGCAGTTAGAACCTGACGAATAAGTGCTGCTTAAAATATTCACTACCAGTGCTACAAAGGTGGATTCAAATTCTGCACATGTTGGAGAATTCCGGCTCCTTTTGATGACTTAGCAATGAGTTATAGCGCTAAACCTACGGCGGGTTCGAATCCCACACGGAACAAGTATTTTTATGGCCTACAAGTAATTGTTCCGGGTCTGGATGTTTGTCCTTGTGAAATTTATGTATGTAAACTGCCCCCACGATACAGGAGAAAATCTTAGTGTGGAGGTAACTTTTTTAAAACAATAAAAAAAATCTATAGCCATGACTTGACTTTTTTCTCCAACGGGACCTGGTTAAAATGACGACACCGGATTGATTTTATACTGTACACAGTCTTTCCATACTTTCAATGGTGCGTAGTATCCAGTTACTTATAGATGAAACTACATCAACATTACCCTTTTTGGATACATATTTCACTGATTTGAGGATGAGTTTTGATTTTGTCAAAACTTCTTGATGCTCTGATTTTGGTGAAAGTGCTAGCAGCAATAGTTTGCCACTTCTCTTTGAGGAGTTATTGAGGATGACATTCAATGAGTCAAATAAATTGTCAAAAAAATAATAGTATATCGGCTGTATCTTTACATACATTTGGCAGTAATCCTTGATCTGAAATAGAAAATAAAATTTAAGTGAAGCAATATTTTATCTATTTTACTAAAGTATAGAATCAATCAAAAAAGTCATTCTTAAGTTTCTGCACAGAAACTGCAACTGCAATTTTGCAGCTGTCTTTCAGACTACAATAATTGAGATTTCACAAACTACAACATAAATTTGTTTGAAGTTACCAGCTAGGTATCCCATATTAACTACAACGGTATGAGTGAAAATTTCAGTTGCGTGTTTGACTTTCATTTTTGGTATTTTATTTGGGTCACAATGAGATTTAGTTAGCTTTTTAGTTAATCTTATGCCTCTATATGTAGGGTTATTTTCAAAGTTTCATAATGTGGTCCCATTTTGCGTGCGATTCTATCAGTGCCTTCCATTGTATATTTTATATTTTTAGTGAGCAAGTTATTTCAAATTCCTTTTAATAAGTGGGGCACATCAAACATTGGTACCACTTCTTCATAATCAACCTCAAATACTTCATGCCTTGCTTCTTTACACTCTCTAGTATAATCCAACCTTGTTTGTTCAATCACGTGGTTAATGGCACTAACATTTGATGTTCCCTGGTCACATACAGTAGCAAGGGCTTTGAAGTCAGACTTGTTCAATTTTCTTATATTTCTTTTAATCATTAAGGCTAATTCATCTTTTTTTGTACTGCCATCACAAAATGTGTATGATATCGGCTGTTTTTAGTGTTTTAGAATACATCTAAAACATCAAAAACCAGTATACACATTTTATCATAGGCTTTCATTTTAGATGCTTCTTAAGTTGGTAACATGTGTGTTCATTTATAACAGGCTTAATGTTGGCCTTACATATTATCCTGCTGAAGGTGAAAAGTGATGGTAGAACAAATATCTTTTGCGGTATCCTGTAGGCCCACGTTTAAATAAAGTAGTGCCCTTACTTTTTCACCAGGTGTGAATTGTTTGCCTACTTTGTGTTTACCACATTCTCGAAATTGGAGCATTGTAAAAGTTGTTGCTATTGAGGTAAAACTTTTGCTTTGCTTTCAAGAAAGTAGTATTTTCTGATAGATTCATTGGCTTCTTAAGTCTTTTTAAATATTTCTCATATATTCAAGCTTTTAAGTTTCTTTTTAAACAAAGTAATTCTTTTACTAATTTGAATCTTTTTGGGCTTAGTCAACTTCAAGCCTGAAATTAAAATTGCAAAACATTATATTTATATAGACAATCTATTAAATTCGAACTACAATTTAGTAAAGATAAATCTAATTGTAATATTACATTTTGAATCATAATTTGGTACATAGTAGATAAATATTGCAAAATTTATGTATATAATGATTTCTTAAATTTACGCGAACACTACACATTGAATAAAATATTGATTTATTTCATCGGACCAAATCGGACCAAAAAAATTAATATTCAAAAACTGAAAGTAGCCGGACTAAATATGACATTGGGACGTCAAACATCCCCCCGTGACCATGGTTGCTGTAAAGCACCCGACACGTCGGGAATTAAAAATAAGTAATAGTAGTGAAATAAACGCGATAAAATCCGTAAATTTAGTTTTATTCAAA